TAATGCCTCCAAGATCTCCTACTGCCCCACCTCAGTTCAGGCCTCACTGTTTCTTACCCAAAGACACTGTAATAGTTTTATAGCTTATCTTGCCCCTCCGATCCATTCATCACCCAGAACTCAAAGTAATTTCTCCTAGAATCACAATGAGGACTTGTTACTACTTTGCTTAAAATATTCCCCAGCACTTTCAGGTTTAGCTAAAACTTTCTTGGCAAAACCACTGAGAACCTGGCCTCTGCTCACTCATCCTGCCTCCCAGCTCCCCATTGTCCCAACATGTGACTCCCTGACCTTGCAGCATCTTGGCTGGCCTGTGACCAGTCATGGAATACTCTTGCCCAGCTCTTCTTCTCCCAGCCTAGATCAGGGATGGCTTTGAGCAGGAAGCCCCTTTGGATATGCCAGTCTCAGGTAGGGGCCCTTCTCTGTAGGGGCCTGTGCACCCACCCAGCCTGATGCCACATACGTTGCATAATAGCAATCCAATGCCTCCACAACAAGATGGTAAACATCTTAACGTGGAGTATTTCTCTCTCCCCAACATCCAGCCCAAGGTCCCGCGTGCTGAAAACCATTAACAAAAATTTTAATAAAGAAACACAATACTCCAGAAATTTTACTCCAGAACGGATTAGAAGCACAGAATCACGGCACCTAGAGTTGAAGGGGAAACTAATGTCCTCTAATCTCTTCATTTTACAAATGAACACGGGACCCAAAAAGAACAGCTAAGAGTGGAGCCTGGACATCAGCCAGTCTCAAGCTCCTGGGCTCTGACCACACCCAAGCCCAGGCTGGCTGAGCAGGACGCGCTCCAGGCTCTACCCGGCCCAAAGGACTGCAGGAGGCTGCATGTCTGTCATCGTCCGCCTTTGCAGCGGAAGAAGCCGAAGCCCCCTGTTCCTACCCCACCCCCACTGAAGTCTTGACTCCGGTGCCCATCTTCCTGGAATGGAGCCCCCCCCAACACACACACACACACACACACACACACACACTTCCAATTTCTGGGGGGTGCTTCCTTCTCATTGTTCGCACTCCCGATCCTCATGCCCACTCATTGAATCACTTATTAAGCACCTACTCGGTGTCACTGTGCGGCGAGCACTGGGGTTCCTGCCCTCCAGAAGCTCCGTCTTCCGGACACAGCGACACAGCCCCGAACGTCGAGCCAGCGCTTGGGCAGAAGGCGCCCAGAGGGACCAGGGGGTCAGCCCCTCGCCCGCCACCCCGTCCCTCCCGCTCTCACCACCCCCGCCCCGGCCCCGGCCTGCAGCCCCCTCCCACGCACGACCCGGGCCCCTTCCCTCAGGGGCTGTGTGGGGGTGGGGAAAGTTGGGGGCCGCAGCGCCGGGGGCTCAGGGGACCCCGAGACCCCCGAGGCCGCCTCCAGCCCGCGGCTGGGTGGAGGCAGCGCGGGACGAGCGGGCCGGGCGCTGGCCCCACAGCACGGTCCGTCCTTCCACACGCCCCTCCCGCCGGGATTCGGAGGGACTCGGAGGGAGGGGACGGGAATAAATACCTTGACTTTGTGGTTAAGGTTAACGCGAACTGCCACCCCGGGGCGACTTGGGCACTGGGCTCCCCGGCCCCGCCAGTCCCGGGACAGGCGGGGCGGGCGCCTCCCCCTGATTGGCTAACGGGCCTGGCCATCCCCGGGGCCGTCCCGCCGCCTGATTGGCTGCGCCGCTCAGATGACCAGCTCCACCCTATCGGAGAAGCCCGCGGGGCGGCCCCTTTGTTCTCCTGAGCCAATAGCCCGCGTGGGCGGGCTGACCTCGCAGCCCGCGGGGCCTCCCGGGCCCCCCGCGCGGCGTTAACGCTTTGGCCGCCGGCGGGGGAGCCAGTCCAGGGCTCCGAGGGAGGAGGAGCGAGGGCGAGGCCGGGGACCGGGGACCCCACGGCGCCACGGCACCTCTTCTTCCCTCCGCCGGGCTCGCCCTCTGACTCCGGACCCGCGGACGCGCTCTCAGATCGATCCCGTCATTCCGCAACTCTCCGGCCGACTCAGGGACGCGCGCGCCCCGCTTTGGTGCCGCGATCCGGGGGCACAGGACGCGCGAACCCCACTCCGATGCTCACACTCGCGTGTGCAGGTGACATAGTGGCGGCACTTGGCTCTACAGCTGCCAAGTGTTAGAGTGAGAAGCTGTACCTGCTTCGCACGACCCGAGAGAAATCGCCCACCGCACCCCGCGCGGCGCCGGGCAGGTCGTGGGCACCGGATAAACGATCCTGGGGGGTCTCCACGAGAGAGACCGGAGACCTCATTAAATCCAACCCCCTCGCTTTCTCGACCGGAAACAGCAGTCTGAAGACGTCGCGTTCCTAGGCGGAGTGTGGTTGCTGATTTAGGGCCAGGGTCCAGGCGGCCAAGGAGGGTCTTGACTGCTCCTAGAGATCTTCAGAAAAGAGAATTTTCTCTTCTACCCACACTAATTGGAAGCAAATGCTCCTTTGTGTCAATAAGATTCCTCACACTGCTACCTCAAGCCAGCTAGGTCAACTCCCACTGGCAGGACTCTCTCTCGAGCTGCTTGGAAACTGTCTTTGGGACGCAAGGTTGATAAAAACAGAAGCTGGCCTCTCTGAGACTTCCTACAAACCTACCCTGATGCTGGTGGACCTCATTCTAATTAATCAGTAGGCGCCTACTAAGCATTTGCGTTGAGCCCAGCTATTGTTTGGCCTCACAACAATAGATACTGTTGGACTGAGATTTATTGGTTTTGCCACTAACTTCTTTGCAGTTATTACAAAAGATACATTTCTGTCTCTGGACTTTGACTTATCTATAAAAAAGTTAGTAATTTCCTAGTTACATACTTACTTTTCTGGATTTTTGCAGGACCCAAACTGGTTCTATGGTCTATAGAAGCATTTGTAAAGTGTAAAACCCCACACAGAGGCCAGACACCACTAGGCTGTCAGCTTTTTAAAGAATCCTGTTCATCTGTATCTTCTAGAGCACCTACTGGAGGTTTTTCCCAAAGGCTTGTGGAATTCCAGTATTCTAGTTCCAGATCTGCCACTGATTATGAGTGAGAAAACCACTTCTCTCTGGGCATGTTTCCTCCTCTAAAGAGTGAAAGACTTCCCCCAGATTGACATTTCCTGACCAAGGATATTTCAAGGATAGAAAGAATGAAGCACGTTGGGATCCTATTTACATTGAGAAAAAAGAGAGGGCAGCCCGGGTGGCTCAGTGGTTTAGCGCCGCCTTCAGCCCAGAGCGTGATCCTGGAGACCCAGGATTGGGTCCCATGTCACACTCCTCTGGCATGGAGCCTCTTCTCCCTCTGCCTGTGTCTCAGCCTCTCTCTCTCTCATGAATAAATAAAATCTTCAAAAAAAAAAAAAAAGAGGACAGAATTGGTGGAATGAAAGACTTGCACGTTTAAAAACTATATATCTGCATTATTAAATTTTGACAAGATAATTTAGTATTTTTGTAATTGTAGAAGAAAAGAGGGGGAAACGGGATGCCTCAGAACTATGATCCCCTCCTAGTGGAGTTCCTCCTTCGAGACTGCTGTCAGCATGTGCCATGCTGAGCAAGGACATGGGAACCACCAGGTCCTCCAAGGGACCCAGGAAGGACCCATGGACAAGATCACTCTGTCCCAGCATTACCAGCCCCCTCAAAGTCACTTCTGTGGCTTTCCCAGAACTTTGGACTTCTCCAAACCATTTCTACCCCAAAACAGGTGCAGTGCAGCACTAGTGGACACCCAATGCTGGCTTCCCCACACCTGAGCAGTTCCTCTAAAAGTGATCTTTCAAAGTCAGGAGCCCTGGTCAGATTCCCTCCCTCATCTTTTTCCCCAACCCCCCAATTATGAACCTTAGATACCTGAGGACCTGTGTCCTGCTCCCTGCCCATCATCCCTAGACGTTGACCTACTTTCCTGCCCTCTAGCCCCCAAGAAGCTTTGCTCCTTTTCCCTTGAAGCCCTGGGGTCCCTTAAAGAGATATATTGATGTGTGGCATTCTTGAGGCAATGCTTCCAGTCTCTGAAAGATAATTTGCCATTAACTATACAGGTTTTTAAGTGGCTCCATGAAGTCATGGAGTGGCTTCAACCAATATGAAATTTGGAAGCCATCTGTTTCCATCCTACACAGAGTCCCACTCACCCCCATCCATCTCCCTCTGCTCATTAGCTGTACACACACAGTTCCTCTCCAGACTTAGGCCTCTTAGAGGTAAGGACAAAGTCTTATCTTGGCAAACCCCTAGTCACCATCACATCAAGCATAAGCATAGTTGGCATTTAATAATTATCTTTGCCAAAGCAGCAGCACACTCCATTCACCCAATAAACTTGTGGCAGTGGTCAAGAGCAAAGGTTACGGAAGTCAGATAGACCTGGGTTTCGATCACCTCTGGTGATTGCCAGTCACATGACCTTGAGCAAATGTTTTCATCTCTAAAAGAAGAGTACCTACCATACGAGGATTATGTGGGATAATTTAGGTGAACTTCTTTGCAAAATGCCACTCACAGAAATTGTGGTTTTTATGCGCTGTGTGCTAGGTGCCGGGATCTGTGCAGAAATTACTAAAACTGGCACGAAAAGGGCCTACTGATATTTGTCAAAAATAAGCACTCAAATTTGTATGAAACAACCAGTGCAGGGAAGCATCTGTAGCCACATATGTGGGGAACTGCAGCAGGCCAGCCAGGAAGGCACTGCAGAAGGTTCAGAGCAGAACTCTTCCAATAACTGGCCCCTGCCAAGTCTAACTTGACCCCACAGAAAGCCAAGTCCCTGCAGAACCAGCCCCATCTGCAGGGTGTGCCTGGCCTCCTTTGGAGAAGCATTGGAGGTAAGGTGCAAAGGAACTCAGAGTGGAGGCACTTATCCCGTTAGCAACACCCATCCCCCACCTCACGCCCCCCCCCCCCCCCACCAACAACCAAAGCCCAGAGCAGCATGCTGCCCCTCTTTCAAATTACAAGGCTCTTCGGGACAAAGGAACACACAGCCACCAGCTCTAAAACCAAATCTTTATTCTCTAGTTTGAAAAGGAGGGTAAGTGGTTGTTCTGTTTCATTCCAGAGAACAGAACAAGGCCCAATAGGTAGAAATTACAGGAAAGCAGATTCCATTCATTATGAGGAAGAATTTCTAACAATTAGAATTATCCTACAATAGAACCAGGGCCTCAGGAGGTGGGGACTCCCTGTCACCTAAGTGTGGAGGTGGACGGAGGTGGGGGAGGCTGGGCATCCATAACCTAGAAATGTTGAAAAGGAAACTTGTCCCTTTCATGCTGTCAGCCGACCCTCCATTATCACTGGGGCAGTCCTTCCCACCATGTTGAGTTCTGGAACGAGTGGAAGGTTGGGGTGTTCAGACAAAAGCCTGGACACAGAGCTGTTGACAGCCAGGGGATGCTCTACATGCCGGGAAGGTGGTGCACTGATCTTGGGGAGGTGGAGTGGAGCTGAGCGCTAACAGTAGATGGGTCTGAGTCCAGGTGCCTGTGCAGGGGCAGGGGCAGAAGGGGACGGAGTGGGACAGGTTCGAGCAGTGCGACCTCACCTCTGTGCTGGAAAAGGCCCAGGAACTGTCTAACAAGGCCAGCAGGTTCTCCCAGGTGTATCCAGCTGGTCCACTTTTCCTCCCAAGTGCTCATTTACTAAGACTGTACCACACCTACTTCCAAAAAACGACCTGAAGGAACTCATGATAAAAGACAAGGACATTAAGGCGTCAACACCAGAGGGGAAGGGACTTCCTGTCCCCTGGTGGCCCCTCCAGCTGGAGGGCTCTAAGGGGTAGGTAGAGCTGCTATTGCTACTTTTCCAGGGCACAGGATGGTTAGGGCAGAACCTTAGCAAACACCGGCTGGAGGCCTGAGCCCCCCTGCACTGAGTGAGGCTTCCCTGGCCGCTGGGGACTAGACCTCCCTCCCTAACAGGGCCCAGCTCACTGGCTGCTCTCCCACCCCTTTCCTAAAGCAGCAGCAACACAGGTACCCCCAAGCACAGGCCCACAGCAACATGCCTGTAAATGACGCTCAGGCCACCCCCTTCCCTTGGTCTCTGCAGCCCCTGCCCTCTCAGACATCATGCTTCTTCTGATGGGCCAGGAGCTTCTCCTCGTCGTCAAAGGTCTGGCCACAGATGGCACAGCAGAAGGCGCCGTCCCGGATGTGGCTCTTACGGTGGGTGATGAGATTGGACTTCTGGCTGAAGCTCCGGTCGCAGTCGGGGCATGCATAGGGGCGCTCGCCCGTGTGGATGCGCCGATGGGACACCAGGTTGGACTTCTGGCTGAAGGCTTTGCCACAGTCTGGGCAGACGTAGGGTTTCTCGCCGGTGTGGATGCGTCGATGGGCCGCCAGGTAGGGCTTGTGGCGGAAAGCCTTGCCGCAGTCCGGGCAGACGAAGGGCCGCTCAGGGGCATGGTCGCGCCGGTGGGCGGCCAGGTGGCTGCCCTGGGAGAAGCGGCGCCCGCACTCCTCACAGGCAAACGGCCGCTCGCCGGAGTGCACCCGGGAATGCGCCACCAGGTGGGTCTTCTTGCCGAAGTTCTTCCCGCACTCCGCGCAGGTGAAGGGCCGCTCCCCGGTGTGCTGCCGCTGGTGGGCCCGCAGGAAGCGCTCGAGCCGGAAGCTCCGGCCACAGTCATCGCAGGTGAACAGGGATGGGGGCGCAGCCGCCGGGTCCTGCAGGGGCGCCCCAGGGGCCTCCAGCAGAGGCTCCGGTGCTGCCTCCTGGCTGGATCTCAGCGGGGCGTCTGCAGCGAGCTCCGACGAGGCCTCCAAGGGGCCAGCTGGAAGCTGAGGACTCCCTGAGCCCGGGGCGCCCTGTGCCGACCCTTCAGACCGCTTGTGGATCTTGCTGTGAGACAGGAGGTTGGGCTTGTGGCGGAAGCGGCGCCCGCACTCGGTGCACGGGTAGGGCTTCTCCCCGGTGTGGATGCGCCGGTGTGAGGTTAGGTAGGGCTTATTGGTGAAGCGCTTCCCGCATTCAGGGCACTGGTGGGGCCGCTCGCCCGTGTGCACACGGCGGTGGGCGATCAGGTTGGGCTTGTGCCGAAAGCGCTTGCCACAGCAGGCACACTGGAACGGGCGATCAACGGCGTCTCCGCCAGGCCGGGGCGCGGTCACCGCAGGGCGGCCCCTAGGCCGAGGCCCGAGAGCCTTGGCTGCTGCCTCCTCCAGGGCCTCAGCTACATGAACCCGCTTGTGAGCAACTAACTGGTCCCACTGGGCAAAGCTCCGGCCACAGTTGCCACATATGAAGGGCCGGGCCTCCGGGGCTGGGGGGTGGCACCTCCGCACGTGAGCCCGAAGCTGCTTTCGTCGCCAGAAACGTCTCTCACATTCAGGACAGGCAATGGGCCGCTTTGCGGCTGAGTGAGCCCGGAGATGCAGAACCAGGGCCACCCAGCCTCTGAAGCTCTGCCTGCAAAGGTGGCAGGCAAAGCCCAGATCTGGAGTGGCAGCGGCATGGACCTGGCAGTGTAGTGCCAAGAAGGGAGGGTGTCGAAAACGACGGCCGCATTCAGGACAGGGCAGGGGCAACCGGGCTTGGCAGTGGCGGGTGTGAAGCCACAGGGCCACCCAGCCCGGGAAGTGCCTTCTACAGTGGGCACATCGATGGGCCTTACTGGGGGCTTGGTTGCCCAACTGAGCCTCGGAAGTGCCTTGTAACCTCAGCCCGTGGGGCTCCTTCTCCATGGTCTGGGGCAACTTCTGGGAGGGCCCAGAGACCTTGGGCTGAGCCGGGCCCATGGCCAAGGGGCCCCTGCAGCGCCGTTCCAGCATGGGTTCTTCCTCTGCTGAGGGTGGAAGAGCAGTGTCACTCTGGAGATCAATTTATCCTGCCCCAGTTCCTCCCTGGCCGACCCCAGGCCCTAGAGGAGCTCGTCCCTCTGAACTCCGAGAGCCCTTGAATCTGGACTATTTTTCTATTTCCTTGTATGTTCTATATTATTTCAATCTTGCACTTCTAGATACCATTTTGAGTGTATTTGTCCTAAGTTTTTAACTGGCCCTGGAAACTACCAGAACGAAGGAACTCTGACACTTCTTGGAATCCCCCCTCATGCCAGTCACCCCGTGTCTGGCATGAAGTAAACACTCCAGCGTTGGCTGAGCAAACATTCCTGCCTTAGGACTCACAGGAGAATGTAGTCACCTCTCCCTATGGTGCTCTATGCTTTTTACAAGTGCTTCCCTGCTGCCCTCTGCTCGTTTCTACTATTTCCTGCTGCTACATTTGAGCTTCACAAAACACAGAGACTGGAGAAGTGAACATGAAGCTCCCTGTTTGACAGACAAAGCAATTTTGAGGCATAAAAAAGGACAGGGGACTCGCCTGAGGGGCCACAGTAAACCAACAGCAGAACCAAGACCAGGTGACAGGTCTTCTAAGTCCCAGGCCAGTGTTCTTTCTTTTAAAACACCTGGGTTTGTAAAGTTCCCACAGAAAGAAGCTCCTACAGCCTTTATCCTATTTACCCTCTCCTGGGCTCTAATCACACCACAGGGAGCATTTTGGCCTCCCTAACCTCAGTCTGTCAGGGTAGAAGCCTGGAGAGCAAGAGACAACAGCGCTTCTGGGAAACAGGAAGGGAGTGCTAGATGCTACTTGCAGCACTGCATAACGCCAGGCCACTGCCTGTCCAGACTGTGCCCACACTGCCTGCCTGCCCTCCTCTACCCACACACACATGATTAGGACACTGCAGGAAGGAAAGCTCTCCCAAGTCCAAGGAACACCCACAGTCTGCCTCCCTCGGGGTGGTAGGGATTTCTACTGGGGCAAAAGAAGGGGAAGAAAGACAAGACTGTAATCCTTGTCCCCTGCCAACCCCAGGAGGGGCTGTCCTACATTCCACTCTTCCACAGTGCCAGGGAGCCGAGATTCCTCGAGGCGAGCTTCCTGAAGGCCCTGAGGAGTGGGTGGTCATTAGCCTCCTAATGGACCTTCACTGCTGACTTGCAAGCTCCAGGCACATCCTCCTAAATTCCCTAGAGCCGAACTCCTCTTGAGCAGCTCAGAGATGCCTCCTTCTCCATGACCAGAATGAGCACAGAGAAGACGGCTGGTTTGGGAATGTGATCCTCCCGCCCCCCCCCCCCCCAGGTGACTCCCTTACTCCAGGATGAGATCTGAGCACTGGGGCTGTGGAATGATTTGGGAACCCAACAAAGAAGGTCAGACTCTACCCTGGAGACCGTGGAGCTGGAGATGAGGTTTTTTCCAGCTCCTCCTGGGGATACTTCTGCGGCTGTAGCGCTTGCTTCGGCCCACACTCTGGTGGCCCCCAGATGTCAGAGAAAACTGCAGCAGTAAAGACACCCCTACCCCCATGGCAGAGCTCAGACCTCTGAGTGCAGAGAGGCCAGCCTTACCTGCGGGGAGGGGAGAGAAAACATGCATGAGGCTCTGAGCTCCTCTAGGGCAGTCATCTTTGTGTCCTCGCCAGCCACAACACCCTCCCCCACCCAAGCCCCACACCCCGAGCGGCCGAGTAACCTTAATGGATACTGGATTAATAAATGAATATTGCCCCCTTCGCCAAGGAAGTACACGACAGCGCTTGGGGGTCATTTCCTCCACGGTAAGGTCACAGCACGAATTCTCCATGCTGATGGCCAAAGGCCGGCGGATGGCAGAAACTCTGGAATCCCTGCTGGCTCCCCTTCCCCCACCCTCCTCCCAACAGGAATTCCAGGCCCGGTTCCCAAGGGGCTGCGCAGGGCCAGCGAGTGTGGCCAGGTCTCGGTCACAATCCCCTTGTGCCCTCTGGATGGCAGAGGGTCCCGGCGACCCCACACCCCCCTTTTGTTTTCGCGCGGGTCCCCCGTTCACGTCGCGGACACCCGGCTCCGCGCGCCCCCAGTGGGCCCGCTCGGGTCCCCACGCAGAGCGCACCTCGCGGAGCCTGTGCGCAGGTGCGCGGGCTCGCCCCCCCACTCGGTCCGCCACTGTCCCCCCCCACAGCGCACACAGTCACGCGCCCGGCAGGTAGGGCCGCCCGCCTCGGGCCCGCGTGGAACCCCGCGCCCTGCCCGGGACGAACCTCTCCGGCGGGGTGCGCGGAGGCGCGTCGCGCGTCCATGAGGCCGGAACGCCGGCGCCGGCGGCCGCGCTCCCCGCCCCGCGCGGCGACAGCGGCAGGTTCGAGTTCACAACTGCCAGGCCCGGGCCCGGCCCCCCCGCCGGTTCCCAGCGCCACGTGACTACAGGAGCTGCCGAGGGTCAGTCACGGGCTGGGGCCGGCGGCCGCGGCCGGAGGGCGGGGCGGGGCGGGGCGGGGCGGGGCGGGGCGGGCGGGCTCGTCCCCCCGGCCCCGGCCCCGGCCCCGCCCCCGCCCCGTCCCCTCCCAGCGCCCCCTCGCGGGCTGGGCTGGGGGCGGCCGCCGCGAGCCCGGCTCCGTAGCCATGGCGACCGCAGCCCGGATTTTCCGGGACAGGCCAGGCGCAAGTTCCCGACCCTTTGTCCCGACGGAGGACGCGCGTCCTTGCGCGCCGCGTGGCCGGACCGCGGTCCCTCGGCCGGACCCGGCCTCGCCGGCCTCTCCCGAGAGAGCGCTCGCCGCCCCCCGGCCACCTCGACCGCTGGCTGCGTGGCGGCCCGGAGATGCCCCCCCGGCCGGGGGCGGCGCGCTGACCCGAAAGCCCGGCTTCTGGTTTGTTCCCAAGTGGAGAAAGGAAAAGCCCGACCGCCCGAACTTTAGGAAGGGAATGCCCCGGATTCCAGAAATTACCGAGAGCAGGCGTTCCCGGCTTCCCGCGGCCCGCGGCGCGGGGCCTGGCGCGGGGGCCGCCCCCGCCTCGGACATCGCGCTGGGAGCCGCGCAGCAGCCGGTCGGCGGGCGCGGAGGCAGGTGCGAGCCTGCGCCGGTGACTCACCGCCGAGCAGGTGGCCGGGGCTTTGCAAACCAGACACACTTCCCGGGCTTTCCAGGCGGGCTCGGTGTCGTGTACTTCTATGCTTTACAGTAAAGTCAGTGTTGATCGTGCGATCATTTTTAAGACACTTCGATCTGTCGCACCGGCCCTATCAGAAACAGAATATAAAGATCTCTCGTACTTTGAGCTTCTAGAGTCAATTACATCTCAAATCTTGGTCTGTCCCCTCCAGGTTTTTTTTTTCCTATGCTTTATCTCTGCATGTTTGACATAATGCGTTGTGAAAATGTATCCTTCCCTTCTCACTAACAATATTGTGAATTTCCTCCCATTTTATTAGATATTCTCTTATGACATGATTCTTAACGGCTGCATAAATGTACAGGTAAACTTTTTTGTTTCTCCGTATCATTATAGTTCCCTCTTTTATTGCACATGCCTGGTTTTAAAATTCGAGGAGAGGGGGGAACTGATGGATCAAAGGCAAAGTGTATGTTTTTAAATGTTTTTTCTGAATTATCTTCCAGGAAAATTTATTAGCTTTGCCTTGAGAAATGCCCATTTTTCCATATCCTTAACAACACAGGCTATTTTTTTTCAAATTTAAAGTCATTATTTCTCATTGTTTTGAATTTCACTTCCTAGATTACTAGTTAGCTGGCTTGTTTTTTTTTTTTATTTTTTTCCACATATTTATTACCTGTTTGTATCTTCTTTTTTTTTTTTTCTTTTTGTAAATTTACTTATGTCCCTTTGCTCTCTTTGTCCATTTTTTAAAGCTGGGAGATTGGTTTTATTTCACAGTGTTTGGGGGGTTCATATCTTATAAAGTAAAAGGCTTTTATGATTCCTGCCTTTGGTGTCTTATATAGAGCAGCCACCACTCCCCAAATTAAATTTTACGTGTGTACTTTTATCACAGAAAATAAGTTTTAATATCTACTAGTGTAAGTACTCCCAATGCACACAGATTCCTTTTTTCCCCCCAGAAAAAAAATGTCTTGGCTACAGTCACTTACTTAGTCTTCCAAATAAACTTTAGAATTTGTCAACTAGTTTAAAAGTTTTCTTTTTTTTTTTTATTTTTAAGTTTTCTTGTCAATATTTTAAAATCCGTTTGAAGAGATTTAAGACTCATGTCCCTCCATTTGTTCAGGTCTTTATCTTTCACAGTCCAGGTTTCTATTTGTAGATTAAATGTATAAGTTTTATACTTTTTTTTTTAATTTTTTATTTATTTATGATAGTCACAGAGAGAGAGAGAGAGAGGCAGAGACATAGGCAGAGGGACAAGCAGGCTCCATGCACCGGGAGCCCGATGTGGGATTCGATCCTGGGTCTCCAGGAGCGCGCCCTGGGCCAAAGGCAGGCGCTAAACCACTGCGCCACCCAGGGATCCCAAGTTTTATACTTTTATATAAAATTCACAAACATGAAAAGAAAACTTTTGTCAGATCATGAATTTTGGTGTTCAGAAGATATGTTCACAGCATATGGCACAATGTATGTCAAGTTTGATGGTTATAGAAAAATGGATTTGTCTATCAGTGCATTCAGAAGACACTCTAGTTTGTTTTTCTTAAGTAGGTTCCGTGCCCAGCATGGAGCCCAGCTCAGGGGCTTGAACTCACAACCCTGAGGATCAAGATGTGAGCTGAGATCAAGAGTCACACTTAGGGGACACCTGGGTGACTTAGTGGTTGAGCAACTGCCTTTGGCTCAGGTTGTGATCCCAGGGTCCTAGAATCAAGTCTTGGTATCAGGCTCCCTGCAGGGAGCCTATTTCTACCTCTGCCTATGTCTCTCATGAATAAAATAATTTTTAAACATTCTTTTTTTTAAAGATTTTATTTATTTATTCATGAGACACACACAGAGAGAGAGAGAGAGAGAGAGAGAGAGGCGGAGACATAGGCAGAGGAAGAACCGGGCTCCATGCAGATAGCCTGATATGGGACTCGATCCTGAGACTCCAGGATGATGCCCTAGGCCAAAGGCAGGCACTAAACCACTGAGCCACCCAGGTGTCCCATAAAAAATTCTTCTTAAAGAGTTACACTTGGGCAGCCCCGGTGGGTCAGCGGTTTAGCGCCGCCTTCAGCCCAGCATGTGCTCCTGGATACCCGGGATCCACTCCCACGTCAGGCTCCCTGCATGGCGCCTGCTTCTTCCTCTGCCTATGTCTGTGTCTCTCGTGAATAAATAAATAAAATCTTAAAAAAAATAGTCACACTTAAAAAATAAAAAAATAAAGAGTCACACTTGACCAACTGAGCCACCCAGGTGCCTCTAAGGTATCCTAATTTTTACCTAAATACTAAGTAAGGAGAGTTAATATGTAGGGAGCTCTTATCTGGTGTCAGATATGGTGATAAACCCTTCACATACACATCTCAATCTCCCAACAACCCTAGAAAACAGACCCTTCTAGTCTTCATTTTACAAATGAAACCACTGAGACTCAGGTTAAGGAATTGGCCCAGGGCCACACAGCTAGATAGGGGTTGATAAGAAACCAGCTCTACTCTTAACCACTAAAGTTGGTATGTGTGGGAAAAGCACCAAGTGCTGGACACAGCACAGAATAATTGTGAGATATCTATCAGTTCATGAATAAATGTGGCACATCTAATGCCAAATTCCCACAAGCACCCTCAAAGGGGAACTCCTTCCTGACCCCTAGAGTATCTTTATCTGTTGGTAACCAGTCAGTCTCTCTTTGCCAAAAGGCTCTTCACTTAAGTCCCTCCCTCCCTGGTCCCCACTAGAAGTTCTTCCCACCCAATCAGGAGTTAACCATCTGCTGCAACTTCCTCTTTTAGCATAGCCAAAGAAAATGATGAGGCTTTCACTCTGCAGAAGGGAAATGAACACAGGAGTTGTGTGGGGTTCCCATACCTTTATGCCAGCCAGGAATTCTAGGCCTTGGTAAGTTAGGTACCTGGGACTCCACCCTTCAATATGCCTTGGAGGAGGATGTAGGGGGTATGGTACAGCAACCAGCCAAACTGCCTAACCCAATGGAGATTGTCTCAGCTCTGGCATGCTTGCTCTATCTGGGGTACAGGACCCACCAGACAGCAAAACTTGACAGAGGTTCCGGGATGATCCCTCTTTCCCTCCAACAGTGCCTGGTCCCCCACTACTGGATTAGATGGCAAAGTAGGTGGGCATACCAGGGGATGAGGGGAACAATGTCTCCAGAAATCCTCTATGAAGAGGACTGAGGACAGCTTAGAAGCAGTCCTGTATCTGCAAGAGGGCAAAGTGCATCCACTTCTCACAGATACACAGTCCCAGTCCTTCCACACAGGAGTCACGGTGCACCTGACACAGTGAGTCAGTGCCTGCCATCTGCCCCTGGGCCACGTGCTGGGCCTCATCATGAGCCACCCAAAAGTGGTCCATGCTGTTTTCCCACAGCGTGAAAGGACGTTGAGAGGACTTCCAAGCCCGGTTTAGCGATGGAAATCTCTCTTCGGGTAGTGCTTCACATGAAATAAAACCAAGTACTTGTTGATTAGTTTTGAATGGATGACTGTTGGAAAGCCGGAGGAGAGTATGAAGCCAGAGAGAAGAGAGAACTTCGCTCTGATGCAACTAACAATTGTTAACTCTGGCTTCAGACAGCATCCTGAAGGCAGATGGGAAACCCCCATAGCCTCCTTCTGGTACTTTGTGGGCCATGTGGGGAGGAGGCAGAAAGGTCACACGCTCAGCTGGGTGGAGGCCAGGCCCTCTAGCCCTTTGCAGGTGTTCAGCCAGCTCTCCATCCAGAGCCCCCCAGGCATAGACCTGGGGGTGGGGGAAGCAGCCCTCAATGTCCCAGGCTGGCATCTCCCATGAACGGATCTTGCTAGGTTGCCTGAAAACTCCTCAGGAAAAGATCACAGTGCTGCTCCTCCTCCTGTGTGCCAAGACCCCCCGTAAGGGCAGCCCCAGACTGAGAGCAAATGCTACCCCCCCCCAACAAAGTGCTGCACCAGACACCCTGCTGTTGTTCTAGGAGTCTGTCTTTCTGAAAGGTAAAGCACAGGGTTGGTCCAAAGGAAACCAGGTAAGTAGAGATCTGATTTCCAGGGCTGTGAGGCCTGTGTCTGGGCACCTCCCAGCTGTACCCCTGCTGCCCCCAGGCCTGCCCTGCGCAGCCTCTCCTACTCTCTGAAGCACAGCAGAGGGCCTTTTGAGAACCCTACAGACAGCTGAGGCCTCTGAGGTTCCCTGAGGTCTGACCACATTTGTCTCTGCTGGGCACCACCCAGCCACAGTAGCCTGGTCCCCCCAGGGGGCTTTGAAGTGTCTGTTCCCTCTGCCTAGAACACCCTTCCTGGAGAACTTTAGAGGGTTCACTCATCACTTTCTTCAGATTTGGGCTCTAGTACCCTCTCCTCCAAAAAACGTGCTTCCCAGGAAGCCTGTCTCCTCCTGAACCTCCCACTGGCAGGTGTCTCCTGTGGCTGCTGTGACAAATTACCAGAAACCTGGTGGCTTAAGACAACACACATTCGTTCTCTTCCAGTTCTGGAGGCCAGGAGTCCAAAGGCAGTTGGTGCAGAACTGGAGGCATTGGCCAGACTGTGTTCCCTCTCTTTTTATTTTTTTTTATTTTATTATTTTTTAAGATTTTATTTATTTATTCATGAGAGACAGAGAGAGAGAGAGAGAGAGAGGCACAGACACAGGCAGAAGCCGGCTCCATGCAGGGAGCCTGACATGGGACTCAATCCCAGGTCTCCAGGATCACACCCTGGGCCGAAGGTGGTGCCAAACCGCTGAGCCACCTGGGCTGCCCCTCTTTTTCTTTTCTTTTTTTAAAAGATTTTATTTATTTACTCATGAGAGACACACAGAGAGAGGCAGAGACCACAGGCAGAAGGAAAAGCAGGCTCCCTGTAGGGAGCCCCAATGTGGAACCTGATCCCAGGACCCCAGGGTCACGCACGACCTGAGCCAAAGGCAGGTGCTTAACCACTGAGCCACCCAGGCATCCCTGGCTGTGTTCCCTCTGGAGGCTCTCAGGGAAAAGCTGGTCCCTTCATCTTTTACAGCTGCTAGAGTTGCATTCTCTGCACCTGGGCTCAGGACCCCTGCCTCCGTCTTCAAAGCCAGCATGTCCCCTCAGCTGTCACATCTGTCCCAGGTGCACTCAGAGCTCACCCTGCCTCCCTTCTGTGAGGACACCTGTGATCATACGTAGGGGCCACCTAGACAATTCAGGCCAACCATGAGGGCAAATACAAATTAAAACTAAGAAAAATAAGTTTTAATTTTCCCTGGTGCAAACAAGATAGAGCTTCTCCTCCAACTCCTTCCCTCAGAGCATTACTTGAGGAAAGTTGTCATTGTCAATTTTCCTCTGCCCCTTTGAGATGCACTGGGAAAGGAGCCTCTGGCCAGCTTCACAGCCCAGGCTTTTCTCCAAGGCCCCGGGGGGGGCCACTCCTCGAGGTGTTTACAAGGGAGATGGTGACTCACCAGAGGGCAGAGACCTGACTTGTGCAGGTGCCCGGCTCTGAGCTGCACAACTGCCTCCTGCCATAAAACAGGAGAGCCTACTGCACCCCTACTGTGGCTTCTTAAAGACACTAAAACCTCCTTAGGATGAAGGCGATGGGCAAACACAGGTGCTACCCCGATCACCAGGTGGATGAACGATGGGTGGCCAACGGTGGCACCAGGGAAGTCCTCTTGCCTGATGCCTGGTCAGGCTGTACCTGGAGAGCCCGTGAGTAGCGGGCTGGTCTGCTGGGCTGTGTAACAAGGGGAGGTCTCTTCCTGCTTTCCTCATCTTTGAGCCGATTGCCTGGGACATGCATCTCTTTCTGCTTTAATGCTTATTGGATAATAAAACTGTTTTCTTTCTCTCCTGCCTTTGCAGAAAGTTTTCCTGCGTCGGTAGGAGATTTTGTATTTAATTTTAGTTCCCCCACATAATCTCCCCATCTCGAAATTCTTAGCCAACTCACATCTGCAGGCCCCTTTGCCATATAAGGTAACATTCACAGACTCATATCCTTTGTTCGGCTCTCAACCCGGATTAGGGTCCTTATCAGCCCACCCACCCCTACCCCATCCCCTCCTGGCTCCCTTACCCCGGCTTTTCTGTTGCCCAAAGCTCATGTCACCTGAGAAAGCAGGAATCTGGCCAGTCTTTTCTACTGCAGCCAGACTGGAGAAAGGCATCCGGTCCAGGGTGGCAGGAACTCAGTGCCTCGGGGCCAAATGAATAAGGAAATGGGGAGTAAATTGGATTCGACCAACCACACAGGTGCCAAGGGAGTGGTCTGGACCATCGCTTACCTACCAGCAAATTTCAAACGCTCTTCCCTGCTTGTTAAGCAGATGATGGGAGTCTGACAGAGCTTCCTGGGAGAGAAGAATTCCACTTTTCCTCTTAAGAAATGTCCAGTCAGTATGTGTGAGGCAAAGAAGACATTTAGAGGAAAACTTGAGACTGTGAGTCTCCTGCTTGAAGGACTCTTGATTGTAGGCAGTAGCACCTTCAACATATTCTTTTATCTGGAACGTTATTCTAGAATGACAGGAATTTGAGAACTTTTGAGGAACCTCTGGCTCTGTGGGGGACCGCTGCTCAGTGGCAGGAGGGCACCCTGATGTTCTGGTGTTGTTTACCAGTGCTTGGTGATTTGCTCTCAGAACCCTACATTGCCCGGAAAAGCTAACAAACTTATTTTGGCCAAGAGAAAAGGTACTTGACTTTACCTAGAGATCTACATTTTTACCCTTTCAAGGTCAAATTTCGTCTATTATTATGATGCTATGTCTTTTTTTCTACTCCAGACTGGCATCGGGTGGTGTCTTCTTCAACATAATGCAAAAGATGGATTTAGAAGCCTGTGTGTAAACCTTCTTGGTTTAAAATCTACTGAAGGCCAAGCTTGATTGAGACACAAGAAAATTCTAACCAGAATCTTTGTGAGGTCTTTGCAATTTAGCAGAAGCAGGTGTATTTTCTTTTTTTTTTTTTTTCCTTTTTCTTTTTTTTAGAAGCAGGTGTATTTTCAAGTGTTTCATTCTTGCTAGTGGCACATGTGGCCACACACGAATGCCATCCATACACATTTGCCATATAACGAAAGTGCTACCTCCAACCTTAGCTCATTCTTCCCCAGACCCTTCTCAAATAACTTCATGTGGTGAATCAGAATGTAAACTTGGTTTCAACCTAGAGCCTCCTCAGCAGCTCCAAGACCAAATCTGGGTCACAGTTAAATTTGGTGCCTTCACAGTTGGCTGATGAGGCCTCAGATGTTCTCAGGAGTGGTTCGCCTCAGCTGTCTTAACACATGAGAAGACAGTTTCCTGTTGAACACGATTTTAGGTTTATTTTGGGGATGTTATTTAGAAATCACAGTAATATGACATGTTTGACTACCATATAGTAACATTCCATTCAATTACTACATCTGACAAATAATATACAAAATAAAATGAATTCCAAAAGATTAACATTTGGCAAGTATTTAGTTTCACAGCATCTAAACTACTCTAAGTGCCTTCCACTGGTGGAGACGCTGCTTATTATCTGTCCCTGCCCTGCTTTACAGTTCTAATAGAGTGTGCGTGGTAGATAAAATCATGGCAACAAATTAGCATGATTTATGGGTCAGATGGAGTTAAAAGTTATTATGGTTAAACCAGGAATCAAAACACGACTACAGGCTACCACAAGTATCTAAGAAAAATAATCCCTGGGGTGCCTAGGTGACTTAGTGAAAGCCTCTAACTCTTCATTTCAGCTCAGGTCATGATCTTAGGGTCATGAAATTGAGCCCTCCATTGGGCTCTGTGCTGGGCGTGTAGGATTCTCTATCTCCCTCTGCCCCTCCTGTGGAATTAATAATAATCCCACAGCCTGTTATTTGAAAAAAACTGGCTGAGGACTGGCAGTGTGACGGACCAAGCTTGCGCTCATCATCTCCATCTAGTGGAGCCTCCTTGAGTGAGGCTTAATGAACTCCCATGAGATCTGTTGGACCTTCAGCCTGTATCTGCCTTTCAACCACTTTGATTTAGGAAAATCTTTTTTGCATCCATGAAGCTGACTGAAATGCACTTCATTAGGATGCTAAATCCTTTTATTAGTTTGTTGAATTTTCTTGAAAGAGTAATTCTAAGTTTCAAAATGTTAATGGTATGTTAATGTTAAGTTACATCCACTGGTTAAATTCCAAGTTTCTTTTCCTGCCACGTTAAAACATTACAAATGCATCCTGATTTCTTATGTTTTTTTCCAGATAAAATACAAGATTCATATGTTTATTCTCAAAAAGGCAATTTTGATTTTTTTCCAGCTTGGTATTAGCCATTTTATTTTCATTCTTTTGATCACAAAACACCTGATTATTGTGCCACATAGACAAAAACTTGACTTTTCTAATAATCAGGTTGGGCACACAGTACCACGTCTTAGACAAGGATTTCCTGTGTGTGTGTGTGTGTGTGTGTGTGTGTGTGTGTGTGTAGGTGTGCTAGGACTGCCCATACACTGGGTTGTTTAAACAATAGAAACTTATTCTCCCAATTCTTGAGGCCAAAAGTCCAAGATCAAGGTGCTGGCAGGGTTTGTTCTTCTGAAGCTCCTCTCCTTGGCTTGTAGGTGGGTGTCTTTTCCCTATGTCTTCACATGGTCCTCCTTCTAAGTCCTAATCTCTTCTCATAAGGACACTAGTCATATTGGATTGGTCCTCTCCCCTACCTTCTGACCTCATTTTATCTTAATTACCTCTTTAAAGTCCAAATCTCCAAATACAGTCACATTCTGGAGGTACTTGGGGTTATGACTTCAACATATGAATTTTAGGGGAACACAATTATATATTTATAGTAGTGATGTGTGTGTGTATTTATATATATAGTGATTTTCTTCTTTAATAACTCACAGACTCTGATTTAAACATGGTGGATCACACATGTTTATCCCTACTCTCTCCCAAAACTCCATCAGAACAATGGTAAATGAGTAAAAAGGTATAAATTCACAAGGAGAAAGAAGATGGAAGGGGAGATAGCCATGGACAAGACACATGACACATTCTACAAGACGGCAGGGAAGGAACCATGGTAACTGCCTGAGGTAACTGAAGTCAAGGGTCTTGCTGGTGCCCCCAGAGCACATTGAAGAGGAAGCTGTCAGCTCCCTGTGCAGATCCATAGCAGAGGTGAATAGGGAAAGGAGGAAATCTGCCCCAAACCCTGCGCCAACAGTCAACTTTCCACGAAGGTCCTCATTTAAACCTCACAACAAGCCCTTAGCATGGAGATTCTGATCCCCACCTTGCAGAGAAGGAAGCAGAAGTTCTAGGGATTTGGGAAGGTAAACAAGACCCTGTTTTGGGCAATTAGCATAGGCCCTGAGCCAGAGAAATGGCAGGACTGGTTCCTGACCCACTGAGTCGCGGAGCTTGTTCCTATTTGTTTAGGATGCATGAGAGTTGAGCAATGTTTGGACAATTTTCCTCCCAGTCCACACTAGTCTTATGAATTCCATCGTACCATTCTGCGGCGCCTGCAGGCTCCCCAAGCCCCACACGAGACCCCTGAATCTATCACCACTAAGGATGGGATGTGCAGGATCAAGACTGAACATGTTTGCTGCCTATAGAAGCTATAGAAGTTGCTGAACACGAGACTCATCTCTAACAGAGATGCCTTCCTTCTCCGTGTGGTTCTAGGGCTTGGGAGGCAGGAGGAGGGGTCAAATGACTCCTCAAGGTCTCATTGGGTTTGAGGATGTCTGTATTTCTGGGAAGAATTTCCTGAAATGTGTGTCTGAGGATGCTGGGAACTGGTCACCCAGTTGGGGCCAAAGAAGAGGGCAGCCCTGTAGAGGCAGGACAGTGGGTAGGGAGTGGGGAGGGTAGCCCCACATCCTATGGAGGAGAGGCTGGGGCGAGACTACCAAATGCTTGGGCTCCTGGGCCAGGGGGAGGGGAGGGTGGTTTGGAAAGAGTTGGGGTCAAGGTCTGGTGGCAAGATCTCAGCAGAGAGGCCTGCCGGTAGATGGGAGGAAGGTCTCGGAAGGCTGCCAGGAGGCCGGTCCTAACGGGGTGGGGAGGAGCCTTGGGCGGGCTGGAAGCTGGAGGGGCCTCGGGGGTGGGAGTGGGAGGAGATGGGGGCCAACCAGAGGAAGGGGGGGCAGGAAGAGGCTAACAGCCTGATGTCGAGTCATCCAGGAGAAGGGCAGCAGAGACCCTGAGGCATAGAAGAGGTGAGGGGGGAGAGTGGGCCAGGGGGACAGCTGGATGGAAGTAGACGGGCCAAAGGAGCAGCTCCAGGGGTGAGATCTGTCAACCGGTTGTAAGGCAACACCTGGTATCTTTCAGCGAGAGGACCTCCGTTTCCACATCTGTAGCTTTCTTGTTCTCAGGCCACCGGAACACACAGAGTTCGAGGGGTAAGTCCATGCCTCAGGCAAACCTAGTCATGCATTAGGGGACAGATCAGAAGGGCTGGGAGAGGAGTGGCAGGGAAGACCCAGAAAAGAAGTTAAGGAGGAGGGGGTCTCCCTGAAGAAAGCCCTGGTGGGGCTGAGGTGAGACCCCAGGGTGTGGGGCCAGGGGTAGGGCCGGAGGCTGGTGGTCCTGGGCAGCCCCAGCACAGGGAGGGTTAAGCACCCTCCCGGTTCCCACCCTACTCTGGGCCCCTCCCCTGTGTTTACGTCCTCCCAGAAATATTTGGCCTCCAGCTGGCCTCCCTTCTATATCCTGCCCCTCCCCCTTAAATTAGCCTTGGGGGACCGAGGGAGTGGGGGTGGGGTGGGGCAGGGTTCCGGGGACTGGGAGCGAGCCAGCAGACCCCAGAGGCTGAGATGGGGGAGCCGAGAGGAGCTCTGAGGGCAGCGGGCAGACAGGGGATCAAAGACCCCGCAGCGGGGGAGAAGGAATGGGCCAGGAAAGTGGGAAGGGGAAAGGGGGAGGGTGGGAGTGGACGGGGCGGGGAGGGGGGGGCTTCCCACGCTGCTGGCCTGAGGACAAAAACCAGCTCAGCACCTTCCCAGGACTAGGCCGAACCAGGGCTGGGCTGGCCCCAGACCAGTGGGGGCAGGGTGGAGGAGCACGGGGACCAGGGGAATACCAGGGCTCTCTCGACAAAAGGGCCACTTCCCGCCCCTCCAGCCTGGTCCCAGAGTGGGTCAGGCAGCCCCCCCTACGCACCCCCCGCGGCAGGGCCAGGGAGCAGGCAGCTCGACGGCTGGCATGAAGGGCTGAGGGCTAAGCACTCTCTGCAGGGCCACGGTGATCGAGTGAGGCCATGTGGCAGCTGCTGATCCCTCTGGCCCTGTGGCTGGGCGCGGTGGGTCTGGGCAGGGCTGAGCTCACCGCGGCGCAGCAGCGGGGCCTGCAGGTGGCCCTGGAAGAATTTCATAAGCACCCGCCCGTTCAGTGGGCCTTCAAGGAGACCAGTGTGGACAGAGCCGAGGACACGGTTAGTGGCGTGGCCTGGGGAGGGGAGGGGTTGAGGCCACAGGTGCGCTCCCAGGAAGCAGGTGCAAACGTGCTTGGGCTCGACCAGCACCCAGTTCTCCAGGGAGAGGCCGACACCCCATCCACCCTCTCAGATGTGCTGTTTGGGGAGGAGCGGGGGGGGGGGGGGGGAGGGACCCGGCCCATCCAGGAATTGATCTGCGTGCTCAGCCAGCTGCTGGCTTTCTCTGTGGGCAGCCCTTCCCTGCAGGGACCTTCGTGAGGCTGGAATTTAAACTCCAGCAGACGAGCTGCCGAAAGAAGGACTGGAAAAAAGCCAACTGCAAAATCAAACCCAATGGGGTGAGTGAAGACCGAGGGTATGTGTGTGTGTGTGTGAGAGAGAGAGAGAGAGAGATGGGGCATTTGCTCAGTATGAGGGTTGGTAATTTTGGTTTAGGTGGAGAGATCCAGCAAGAAGCCCTGAGGGTGGAGCAGTGGTCCCACTTCTAGAGGCTCAGTCTGAGACTGGGGATGTGATGCTGTCCTCCTGTCCTCCTCCCCCCCGGGGCTCCTCTCTCAGGCGTCAGGCCACTGGTGAAAGAAGCCCCGGGCATGGGGTTCAGCTGGCCCCCAGCCCAGGCCACGTGAATTCTCCACTTTCTGAGTCTCCAAGTAGAGACAGCCCAGCCTGGGCTGATTCATGCAGCGCTTGACTGCATTCAGCACCCCCTGGGGGCATAACCACTGCTACAGAGGAGTCCCCATGTCCCAGCTGTTTCGAGCCCCAGCCTGTGACCCAGTAGGCCTGTTCCCTCCATCCGTTAAGGGAGGGACTGGATTGTATCAGTGATTTTCCACACTTTTATGTCAGGATCCCTGTGTTCACGTCAAACCTTTTGAGAACAGATCATCAGAATGGCCCCAATGAAAGTCAGGTGGGGAGAACCCATCTGGGGAAGGAGTTCTGCCCCCCCCCCCACACACACGCGGTCCATAGTTTGAAAACCACAGGGTGCTCTGACGTCTGAAATCTCCCAGGCCCCAGGTGGGCTGCACCAGAAGCCAGCTGGCCCCAGGACCCCTGCCCCTCTGCTCTAGGGCCTGCCAGGGGGGCTGCTCCCCACTGCAGGCAGCACCCCCAGCTTCTACCCTGATTGGGGGGGAGGGCTGCACGCCTGCCCTGACCTCTTTCCTGTCCCGGCCCCACACCCCCTCCTCAGAGGAAGCGGAAATGCCTGGCCTGCATCAAGCTGAACTCTGCAGATAAAGTTCTAGGCCGGATGGTCCACTGCCCCATCCACACACAGGTTCACCAGGTAAGAGTGGGCAGAGGAAGAGGTGGGGAGGCTGGGGAAGAGGCTGGGAAGGTGGAGAAGCTGGGCCTGTGGGAGAGATAAGAGGCAGAGGCATGGGAGAGCCTGGGTGGCTCAGCGGTTTCGAGCCTGCCTTCAGCCCAGGGCGTGATCCTGGAGACCCGGGATCAAGTCCCAAGTTGGGCTCCCTGCAGGGAGCCTGCTTCTCCCTCTGCCTGTGTCTCTCTGCCTCTCTCATGAATAAATAAATAAAATCTTCAAACAGACAAAAAAAGGCAGAGGCATGGACTGAGGTGTGTGGAGGGTGAGGAGCAAGGAGGGGACGAGGAGGGGCAAGGCGGTATGAGAAAAGAGTGGAGGCGAGGGGAGGAGTTAAGGGGTGAGGAAGCTGTGAGGGGCAAGGAGGGGCTCTGGGCCTGGCCCCACTCTTCCCTAAGGGATGTGCAGACACCCCTCTCCGGGGAGCACCCTCCACGGGGACACTCTGCCCGGGCACTGTTTGTCCCTTGCGCCTGAGCAGCTGCCTGCACTGGCAGGAGCCTGAGGAGCACCAGGAGGCTCAGTGCAGCAGGGTGGAGCGCGCAGGCGAGGACCCCCACAGTTACTACTTCCCAGGACAATTTGCCTTCTTCAAGGCCCCGCCTCCCAGCTGAGGCCCCACAGGTAGGTGCTGGTAGGTGCCCCCGACAGGGGAGGTCACCACGGAGCTGAGACAGAGCTTGTGAGTTCTGGGCTAGAAGCTCAGCTGGTGTGGGGCCAAGGGAGGCTGGGGAAGGATTTAGAGCCTGCGAAGAGAGCTTGACTTGACCCCAACACCCTCCCTCACACCCAATCTTAGGTTTCCTTTTCCTTTCCTCTAGAGTTGGGTCCCGCTTCCCGGACAGCTGCAGGAGGTAACCAGCAAAGGACCCCCGCCTGTCCCTGAGCTCAGGGAGGACAATCCCATCATCCCCGAGCTAATAAAAGTGCTCTCCCAGATGTTCTCTCCTCTTGCATGCCCTCCTTCCCCTAAGCTCAACTGTGGGATTAGGATGCTCCAAGAGGAGCAGAGCCCCAGGGGGAGCAGGAGACTTCCTGTCCAACGCTCAGAAAACAGGAGAGAACAGGGCCCCAGGGACATCATCTTGCCTTCAGGCGCTCGTGCTTGGGAAAACAAAGGTCACCCACAAAAACGGACAGGCAGTGATGCTTAGAACAGGAAGATTTAATAGGGATCAGGTGGGTGAGAACGGGCAGTGAGGGCTCTGGGTGACAAGGGACGGGAGCACCCAGCAGAGGGTCATGTGGATAGGCAACTCTGGAAGGTGGGTGACCACAGCTTCCAGGCTTTGGCCCCTCCTCTCCCAGGACTGTCTGGGGCGACACAGACACCCTCCCTGCCTTTCTCACCTTTAGCCCTGGGAAGATGCAGCGCTCTTCCACTAAAGCCTCAGACCTGAGCAGCCAGGGGTGGCAGCTGCTGTGGGCATGGCTCCACACAGGGCCTCCTCTCCAGGCTCGCAGAGTAGGAGGCAGGAGGGCCTCACACCCTGCCACCGGCCTGAAGAGGGCCCTTACACCTCCTGGAGACAGCTGGGCAGGTGTGTCCTTGGTATGAGGGAGGGGTGGGAGGGAGGGGGCTGCTCTCAGGAACACGGATAAGCAGAGAGCCTCATTTGCAAGCCCAGTGGCCAGAGTGACGAAACTGATGACATGCACCAAAGCGGGCGCGCAGATACAGGCAGTCAGGTGGCTATGTACCCATCCCAGGGCCAGGTGCCCAGCTGTCACAGGCCATGGGCACACTCAAAACACAAAGGATGATGAGGCAGTGCCCGCAGGGCTGAGTGCTTGCTCAGCCTTGGCCAGGCTGTCGTTGGCCTGGCGGTCCAGGTCGTGGCATTCCTGCAGGGTGTCCTGGAACTGCCGGCAGGCCTCCTCCAGGATGGAGTTGCTCCGGGTGGGCCATGACTCCCAGTACCCTGGCTCTACCCAGGGCTGGGCCTCAGCGGCCCGGGGGCCAAGGCTGGAGCCAGGGCGCAGGGAGCTGTCCAGGTCCCGGCACAGCTGGTAGAACTCACTGCCTCGCCCAGTCACGCGCTCACCATCGATAACCTTCAGGCCAGGAAGCAGCTCCCGGACCGCAGCCCAGTAGGAGGGACTGGTGCACAGTGGGTTGCTGAGCCGGGCCAACGGGTCACGGAGCCGCAGGTACTCCAGGCCCCTCAGGCCAGCCAGACACTGCAGCTGATCAGGGGTGGCTAGCAGGTTGCCCGCGGCATTGAGACTCTGCAGGTTTTCGCAGGCGGCCAGCGGCTCCAGCCCCGTCAGCCGATTGTTGGCTACGTTGAGCACCACGAGCTGGCGCAGGGCCGCCAGCGGGCCTAGTTGGGTGAGTGCGTTGCTGGACAGGTCCAGCCACTCGAGCCCCAGGCACTCCCCCAGGCAGCCCAGGTCCACCAGCCCCAGACCCCGAAGCTTCAGCAGCAGGATGGACTCCAGGGCGAACTCACCCGAGCGAGACTTGAGCAGCTGGGGCGTGATGCACACCCCGTCCGCCTCTCCCGGCTTCTCACCCTGGGGCTCCATCTGATGAAGGCAGTCTGGGAGGCCTGGGCCCCAGTGGTCCTGGCACAGGGACGCGGCCACCACTGGGGGTCAGGGGACTGCTCACCCCGAAAAAGGCACCATCGATTGTGTCTGGGCCAGTGCCAGAGGCCCGTTTGCGACAGCCCTCCTTGAGGACTGACAGGTTCCTACAGAGAGAGAATCATACAGTGAGTGGGCCTCTCTGGATATCCTGGGCACTTTCTGACCTAATGGCAGCATGAGGCACTGCCCGGCCTCTCCCACGGTGACAGAGATCCAGCCAGCCCAGCCACACCTGCAGACACAGAGCCCCCTGAGGGAGGTGGGCCAGGCTCAGGCCCGCACCTACAGGGGCCCCGACACTGCTCCAGCAGTTATGGCTATACCAGATGGAATTCAGGTGCCATGTGACCGAATTCCCATTTTCCATATCTGTACCTGGAGACAAAAATCTCTTCACTTTCCTTTGTCGGAAACTGCTCACGATCCATCCTTCATAATTTTGAGGTGTTTCTTTTTAGCCATTCCAATTAATTCTTGAATAGCTAACAGGTCACCACCAACTCTTCTGTTCCCTTCCATATGCAGCCACAAATGACAGCACGCTGGGCCTTACTTCATTCTCCCAAAAATGTTCGTGACTCAGTGTTTTTTTTTTTTTTTTTAAAACATTAGCAACAAATTCAAAATGGTTTCCAGATTGTGTGGGTCCACTGTAACCCCTGCTTGTGACCATGGGGCCTGGAGGCTCAGCTCAGGCCGCTGGAGGAGGTAGTAGTGGCATTGGCAGCCCTGAGGCCACAGTCACCTGCCCACAGCCCCACCACCCATGGCTCCCCCAACTAGCTCTTCACTCTGGAGTCCGTAGAAGGGCATTTTTAAGTTTTTAAAAAAGGTTTTATTTATTTATTCATGAGAGACACGAGAGAGGCAGAGACACAGGTAGAAGCAGACTCCATGCAGGGAGCCTAATGCAGGACTTGATCCCGGGACCCCAGGATCATGCCCTGGGCCGAAGGCAGGTGCTAAACTGCTGAGCCACGCAGGGATCCCCAGTAGAAGGGGATTAATCCCTGTATGCCATGCAGCGTGGATGAGGGTTAGCCAGAGAAGGCAAGTGGGGCAGAAGGCCAGGCAAAGAAGCCACGCTGGAGGGAAGGACCTGGCTAGCACCTCAGTTCCATAAAGGCAGGGGAAGGCTGGCCTTTCCAGGCACCAGGGGATGTGGGCCGGCATAAGGCCAGGTGCCAGTGCGAGACTGGAGCGGAAGGGGGAGGCCTGAGGGAAGAATACTGGCAATGCCGCCCACGGAGGGGTCAAGGTTGCAGCAGAGAGGAAAACAAGAAGGGACCTCTGCTCCAAGTGGCAGCCTCCCAACCCTGCAGACTCTGGCCAGGCCCAGGCCAGGCAGAGTGATGCCTGTGAAGTACCATGGGACTATTCACTCCTGCTGTTTATAAAAACTGGGATCCAGAGTACCCCGGAGCCCCAAGTCTGTGTTTACATAATCCACATCACTTTCTATTTCCCTCTCCAAGGAAACTAGGCCTAGGGTTCCTCCACCTCCCCCTTGCCTCTCTCCCCACCTCTGAGAAGTGGGTCTTCATGCCTTTACCTAGCAAACCTCTAGTCTGCAACACCCCTTCATTTCTGTTTCATTTCTTTCCAGAAGTGATTCAAGGCACCCACTAAGTCGGGGTCACTCTTCAAGCAGGATCTACCAGGGATTGTAAGGGAGAGAGAGATGCAGTCAACTTTGCATCTGGTTAAAAGTGCTGCCCACAGGGGTGAAGGGTGCAAGAGGAGCACCAGGCACCAGAAGCCTGCCACAAAGCACTAGGGAGACATGGGCTTCACGAAGGTAGTGAGCGCTGCAGAGGACAGAGCCTAGAAAGACTACCAAGGATCTAGCTAGGACGTTACTGGATGCAGGGGCTCCCTTCTCAGCCTTGGGACACACAGGACAAGCTGGGGGTCAAGAAGACTTCCGGTTTGAGGGGACCATGTGCATCGGGCTTAGGAGGCAGTTGAGGCTCTAGGCTGAAGGGATTCATGCGTCATTTGCAGAGGTACCCAGTGGGAAGGTGTGGCTCCTGGGCCAGCCTTTGGGCGGACACAGACCTCTTTCAGTATTTGCAGGCTTCCCTCCAGGATGATGCAGAGCTTCCCCAGCTCCCTAGCCACACACTATTTTGGGGGTGAAAGTGGTCAGGAGGCCCTGGCGTCCAGTGAAAAGGCGCAGTTATGGGCTGCAGTCAAGAGAACACCAGCATTTATGAGGCTGAATGGAGGGCACTGATGAGCAGCCAGGGGCAGGCATACAAGGACACAGAAGGGACACTGTTAAAAGGCCCACTGGACTCAGGAGGCCACTGGGTGGAGCAGCACCAGCCACAGCCCAGCGTGATGGGTTAGGGAGTGATGCCCTGAGGAACCAGTTCAGTGACCTCAATGACATCTGGAGGGACGGGGCAGGAAAGGACAAGGGGACCAGAAGGGGGTGGGGGGAGGGAGGGAACTGCATGTACTCCCCACAACAAAGCTGGGAGGAACACTTTTTGCAGAAGAGGAAACAGGAGCAAAGTACACATTCCCCGGAAACCGGGAATTCCATGCCCCAAAGCCCTGCCTGGCAGGTGATGCTGGCCTTCCGGCCCTCCACCTCCCACCCTGGGCCCCATACCCTCACCAGTGCCAGTACTGCATAGTCACCAAGGTAGAACTCTAATTCTCCAGGGGATGAAACTCTGCTCTGCTCCCGGGCCTATCTTACCCAAAATCTGCACACCTCAACCAGGAGGGTGTGGGCTCGACCAAGTGCCCTCCCCACAGTGTGAACCTGACTCACACTCAAGCCAGCAGCACAGGGCAGGCCCCACACGATGGAATGGTTCATCCACACCCAAGTGCTTCCATGTTCCTCAATAAAGAACCAGAGTCCTCCTATCCTGGTCCTGCTCTGGAAAGTAGTGCTCAGAAGCTCCTGGTCCAACGTGTATCTGTAAATGGGGCTTTGTTACATAGATGAGACTATGACGACACTCAGCACAGTCAACACCTGGCTTTCCTACAGGAGGCCTGTCTTCCCTTGTTCAGGACTACCTTTGCTGAATCTCAGTTTACCTACCTAGGAAGTGGGCCAGAAAATAAGGCCCATGAGCCAGCCAGAGCAGGCGGGAGCTCTGTCTTCAGAAGAAATGGTTAACGCAGAGCAGCCTCAGTGAACAGTCACTTGGCTGCTCCAGGGACCCTGGAGATCCTTCTGCCGGCCCATTCCCCACCCCACCCCACCCCCATCCACAATGAAGATCAGGGTTCTTTACCTCAGCACCTCTGCCACTGGAGGGTGGAGAAGTCTTTGTCCTGGAGGTTATCCTGGACGTTGGACACTTACCAGGATCCCTGTTTGCCACCCACAAGAGGATAGTAGCAATCCCACCATCAAGCTGTGACAAATGTCTCCAAACACTGACAAATGTCTCCTGAGGGACAAAACTGCATCCACCCGCCCTCCCAGAGGCACTCCTTGGGACCAGCAGGCTTCTCTGCCACGTTCCTCTACTCCCCCCACTCCCACATGCTCCCAACGCTGCTGCCTACGCCTCCTGGCCCGCCAATGCTGGAGAGCCAGTTCAGTGACAATGAGCAAGAACAGCTTAGGGAAAAGCAGTGCAGAGCAACATCTCCCTCACACAGGGTGACTTGGGGGCACCCCACATTCCTGCCTCTCACCCTACCTACCGAGTCAGAATTTGGGAGGGAGGTCCAGGATACCCAAGTGTCTAAGAGCCACACATATATGTCAAGGAAAAAGAGCAGGGAGAGGCTTGGGGCCATGCTCTGACCTTACCACCCAACTGCACTTGAGTTAGAGTTGGAGGTGCTAAGAGGTACAGTCATAGTCTGGGCTCCTCTCCCTAGGAACCTCGCCTCCCATCACCAGGGAGCCTATAATGGCTGGGGGGGGGGGGGCAGGGGGGATGTGATCTAAGCAATATGGAGACCAGACTTGAAATCATGCTACTCCAACCATTAAATGTGATCTTTACAAACCTTTATTTAAGAAAGAAGATGCAATTATGAAAATACTACATGCTAAACAGGACAAAGGCTATGATCCCGAGGTTAAAAAAAAGAGAAAGACATATGTCCCAAGTATTAACAAGGCTGCCTGAGTGAAAGATGATGGGTAGTTTTTCCTGCTTCCTTACATTTCCAATAATTTGCAAAAATCCTATAGCGACACATGACTGCCAACCCTTCCAAGGGAGGCAGGGGGACAGGTATCTCAGGCTCACTCCCACAGCCAGGGCCCAGTCTCAAGTTAGACCTTGAGTGCCTTGCCCCACCTCTGCCTACCTACCTTCCCTCTCAGAGCCACCCTTCCAGCTCCTGAGCACCTCAGGAGAGCTGGGCTTGTGCAGAGTCATGTGCAGGGTGACAGACCTGCCCCGGTCTTCCGGCCTCTCCTTTGCCTTCTTTTTCACCTGATACACCGGCTCCTGGGGCTCACACACTCAGCTCTTGCACCCTGCCCAGAAGGAAGGCACCAGTGGGTCTGATGGACAGTGTTTCTTGCTTCCAGGTAGGGGACCTGCACTTTACAAGTGACCAGGGAGAAGGAGAGGTACAGGCAGCTTCCTAGAGCTGGGTAGGCCATGAAGCTCTTTTGGAGAGACTGTTTTCACTGTAGAAAGAAACCCCAGGATCTCCAGGAGCCTGGAAACAAACCATGGATAAGAAGGTTGAGGAATGGGTACATCGATTGTCCTCAATCCACACCTCCTCACTGGCTGGGCAGTCCCATCACCTAGGGTTCTCTGGCCACTCTGGGATCCACGACAAAGCACAGACCCCCAAAAAAACTGTTATGTGCGTGTGTGCATACTTCTTTCTTAACGTGGCCACCCTAACTCAGGGCTTCTTTTTTCTTTTTCTTTTCTTTTCTTTTTTTTTGGGGGGGTGGGGGCTTCTTTTTTCTACAGTGAAAGCAACTTCGGAAAAAGCTTCCACAGCTTTCCAGGCTCTAGCTGGCTGAATGTATTTCCCACTTGCCAGTGCCCATGCCTCTCCTTGTCCTCAGTCGCTTTTTGAGAAAGCAGGGCTCTTAAGGGCATGTATCCCTGGACATGCACAGACAAGTTGCATGGAGGGCCCTTACTAGCCACCAACACTGCAGTTTATAGAACTGTGCAGCACAACTCATAGTCACTTGGATCTTTTTTTTTTTTTTTGACTTGATCTTTTCTATGCATAAACCGCTAGAAAGAAATTAAGCAATGGATGGATGGAAGACGGTATCTCCTGGGAGAAGGCAATCTGTCAAGGATTGAGAAATTGTCCCTATTCCTTCCAAAGAGGTTTAGGACTCTGGGCAGCCCCATCCAACACCCTAGGGTGCACATTCTGCTCGCCCCTGAGCCCAGGTGGTGTGTCCACAGGCAGATGTTCAGGGAGTCTGTTGGAGGTCTGCCGTGCTGGTCTGCTCCCCCTCAGCCAGGTCCCCATTGAGGAAGAGGAGGGAAGGGGTGGTATAGTTGGGGAAATTCTCCAAGTTGGTCTTCAGGAAGAGGAGACGCTCCACAGTTTCCACTGGGAGAGGGGTGCTGTGTTCCAGGATGGCAGGGCTGTCCAGGGACGTATAGACACTTTCACAGAAGGCCCCTGTCGGGGGACAGGACAAATAGACAGTAGCCAGTCTTGCCAGAACTGGCCAGACCTCCTGCCTCTTCTCCCAGTAAACCAGCGGGTCCTCTTGTGCACCAATCGTCTCGTTATCGCGTAGGTACTTCTTGACAATGATGCTGGCCAGGTGGCTCTCGGTAGAAAGCGAAGCTCCACTTCTCTCGGACGCCAGCAGCCCCGCACTTTCCAGCTGCTCCAGCAAGCTCCGCTCCCTCTGGCCCAGCAGCAGAGATCTGGAGCTGCCTCTGCACCACCCTGGCTCTGTCCCATCCTTCCCCTTGGCTCCAAGGGTCTTGACCATCCTGCTGCTCATGGTGGTGCCCATACACATGGTCTTGGGGCTGTCCGGGGAAGGGGAGGAAGGCAAGGAGCAGTCGGACACCATGATCTCCTTCACCTTGTACACGAGAACTTGCTTCCAATGGTCAATGTCAGCCCCCATGGGCAGGATGGCCTCGATCTTGCCCTTGAAGCGGGGGTCAAGCAGGGTCGCCAGCACAAACTCCTTCCGGTAGAAGAGCTCGTTGAGTTGGCAGTCTGTGGAGACCTGCAGGGCCAAGCCCTTGGCCAGCCTGACGGCTGTGCTCACCTCTGAACCACCCTGCTCCTTAAAGTGCTCGTGGATCTGCTCCAGGATGATATGCAGGTAGCGTAGCTGGGGCAGCACCTGGCTTAGAGTAGCCCATGCAGTGCTCGCCTCCTGGACCACCATGTGGAAGGGCTGCAGGAGCATGACCAGACTGTCCATCAGGCTCCAGAAGGTAGCCGACAGGGCCGTCCTGGCCTTGCCCAGCTGGTATTTCTCCTCATACTCCTGCAGTGGCCGCTGATGCTCCACCAGCCACTCCATCAAGCGGTAGGCAGAAAGCCAGTGGTCTGAGAGCTCCCAAAAGGGCTGGTGGGCTGGGAGGCCACACTGCTGCTGCAGCTGGCTGAGGAGCTGCCGGGCCCCTGAGGAGCCTTGGAAATGGCTACAGATGGCCCTGACCGTACCCAGGATGGTCTGGACGCTTTGATGGTGACACAGGAAGTTTCTCACCAGGGAGTCGAGGCAGTGGGCAAAGCACGGGATGTGGGTGTAGCCCTCCATCCTCACTGCCTGCTCCAAGCTGGGGCAGCTGCCCGATACCAGGAAGCCCGGTCGCAGGGTGCTGCGGCTGAGCCACAGACGGACCTGCTCCTGCAGCGCCTGCTGCCTCTCCTCCAGGCTGCTGTCCTGGGCCAGGCCTCGAACCAAGAGCACTGCTTGCTTTCGTGGGCTCTCCGATGCCACCTGCCGACTGCCCGGCAGTATTGCACCCCAGTGGGCAGTGATGGCCACATAATCCACAACTGCATCTGGGGCAGCAGTGGACACGGTAAGGTGGACACAGCTCCCCTTGGCCCACTGCATCTCCCGACACACCTGTTCACTGACCGCCTCGTGGAGCAGAGGCAAGGCTTTCTCAAAGAAGAAGGCTGGAGGCGGCACTTGGTAGCAGGGGTCTACCTGGGCCATGAATCTTCTGAAAGGCAGGGAGGAAGTAAAGGAGAATGGCAAAGTGAGGCTACAGAGCAACTGTGCAATGCTATGATTCCAGGCCTGTGCTTGGGGCTGGCCAGTGATGTCAGTGCCACCCCGGCCCTCCCCAACTGCCAGGGGTACAACGACAGGTTCATCCTTGATGGAAGCGGGCAAGGGTGGCAGAGCCAGGAAGAGCTGCTCAGGCCTGCCTGGGCCCAGCACCCTGCCACTGTCTTCCGAGGCTGAGGTGTCCAGGCAGTGTCTTGGGGATGGGAGCCCCTCAGGGGCCAAGCTAGCAGGGCTTGCAGGCAGGCCCTTGTGCTTTCTCTCCTCCAGCTCTCCCTTCTCCCCCGGGCTGGCCACAGCCGGCCTTCTCTCTCTCTCCAGCCCATGCCTGCTCACCAGGTGACAGACCAGGCCTGAGGTCTGGAGATGCCCCTTAAATTTGCCCTGTCTGATGCTGGCGTGACACAGAGTACAGGTGACATTGCAGACATTTTTGCAGTCAAAGGTAAAGAACCGACTGATGTCGGACAGGGGCTTGTGACTGATTTCCAGAGAGCCAGGGGAATGCCTGGGATTTCTGATCAGCTTCTTCAGGCAGGGTGGCTTCTGGAGGCTCACCAGGGATGACGTCTCCCCCACAGCAGCAAGCAAATGCCTCTTCCACTTCTTGAGGCGTCTCACCTCCCTGGCCAGAGGGGCTACGAGGATGTCAGCCTGCTTCACCTTCTTGCTCTTGCTCGGCTGGCCCACCTCTGACTGGTCTGGACTGACTGCCTGGAGTGGCGCTGGGGGCGAGGGGGCCGGGCCAGAGCTGAGTACTAGGTCTCTCGCCTTCTTCAGGGTGGGCTCCCCCTCCCGTCTCTGGCCCCGTGCCTTCTGTTTGGACACCTTCTTCTTGGGCTGCACAGGGGGCTCCTGCTCAAGCACAGATATGAGGCTACAGAGGTCAGAGTCTCCCTTCGGCTTGTTCCGCCCCCGGCTGCCCAGGCACTTTGTATGGGAGGCAGCCGGGTGAGCATCAGGGCTCCCCAGGGAGCAGGCTTTTCTCTTCTCACCACAGACTGGGAGGCCCAGGGTGCCTTTTTCCGGCTCCTCAAGGAAAACCTGGTCAGGTGAAGAGATCCGCGAGGAACTGGGGAGAGAGTGAGGTCTCTTCCTCTGTAGCAGCAGATCCCTCTCACTCCCCTTTGGAGAGGCAGAGGCTCTGATTTTCCTGTGGCCACTGACAGCCCTCTCTTCCGCATCTACGAACTCCAGTTTATCCTCCATTGCCAGCAGGCGCCCCCCAGCACCCCAGCCACGTCTGTGAAAAGTACTGGTAGTTCTGTTGTGAAACTTGGAGCTAGGCAAAGCCAGGGTACCAGCCGGGCTCCTGGATCTGATCACGGAGGAGTTAGCACACACAGGCGGCTCCTGCCCCAACAATCTTGAAGGTGTATGCCTCTTGGGGGGCTTCCTGATTTTTTCTACTTCCAACATGCTTGGGAACTTGGGGGAAATGAGAAGCTGGGCCCAGGCTGTAAAGTAAGATGAGAAGAGTGGCTCTCCACCGCCCTACTCAACTCTGGGGACCATGCGGGGGAAGGCAAGGCCAGAGGGAAGCAGTGGGGAGGGGAGGAGGGAAGTGATAAGAGGGTGCAGGCCTGGTGAGATCCTAGGACACCAGCCCCAGGACAGAACTCTCAAGACCACAGCGTCCTTGGGGAAGGCTGACGTTCACTCTTGCAGATGGGATGGAGCAGCCTTTAACAAGAAGCTCACAGCCCTCTGTACATTACCAGTTTCTACATCTATCCAGGCCAAACTAACTGAGGTTTCTCTCCTTTCTGGGTTTCCCGAGAACCTAGTAGGCACTTGGCAATTTCCCTCTATTGCAGATCTGCTATAAAGTAAGTGAAGCCCCTGCATGCATGTGGACTCCAGGTAGGCTGGTAAGACAGACATGTAGTACAGACTCACACTCACAACACGGAAAGCTAGAGCCAATGTGCAGGTATGAAGGAGCACCACCCACAGTTGTGAGACCCCAAGGAGGGGATGGACCCTGCCAAGAAGTCAGGTAGGTCCCCCTAGAAGAGATGCAGGTATCTCAAGTTCAAGCCAGGAGGGAGCGCAGCCCTGCTCTCTGCATCCCGTGCATCTGGGCTTTACCTGTCACCCAGCAGGGCACCAGGAACAGGTCACAACACAGGCTACTAGGCCGTGATGTAGCCAATGGCCTTGCTAGATCTCTTGAAATTCTTTTTCTAGAAGTCAGTTTGCATCAGGGAACACAGGACAGGAGCACAGAACAGGAGGCCCTAATGCACACAACTCAAGCCCTGTAGTGTCCTGTCACTCCCTTCTGTCTGTCCTAGAGAGACTACTGAAGGGCTGCTCACACTTCCTCACCTCCCACTCCCCCCGAAGCCTGCTCCTCTGGCTCTGACCCCCACCGCTCCCTGACACTGCTCTCGCCAAGGCCACCAGCATCCTCTGTGGCGCCTCTTCCAATGGGCTTCTCTGGAAGCGCTGAGGTGCCGGCCCATGTCCTCCACTGGGAATGCCATCTTCCTGTGGCCCTGGGGCACCACATGTCCTTGGTTATCCTCTTACCTGCAACTCCTTTGCAGCCTCTGGTCTGATCCCTCTTCCTCTGCCCATTCCTCTGCTGTTGGCCGTGGTTCCTGCCTGAGTCCCATTTCCCATTCTATACACCCTCTCCAACTGGGGCTGTGCTCACACACTGACACAGCGGGCCTGTCTGGCTGGGAGCTCTCTTCAGCTTCCCCTTGTCCACCTGCTCTTCCTACAGTCCCCTCAATCTTGTAACTGGGACAGCTGCCCACCCAGATGCTCAGACCCCAAGGAGAAGCACAATCCTGAACTCCCTTCCCTTGTTCGTTCTCCTAGAGACTAGGTCACATTCAGACCCAGTCAAAACAGAAAAGAGACACAAGGAAGTCGGAAGAGAAGTACATGGAAAGGAAATGCAAGGCAAAGCCCAGCACCAGAATGTGTTTCTCTGGACAAAGGAAGACTCAGAGGAAAGTGACCTAACCCCCCCCCACCCCCCCGCACATCGGAAAGCAAGTGGGCTTTGTCTCTTCACACCAGAAATAACATACAGACCAAGCCGGAAGATATAAAATGAGAACATTCTGACACTGAGTGATGTTAAACATTAAGAAGAATCACCTCGAACAGCAGGACTGCCTTTAAAGGTGACATGCCCAGTGAGGTAGCTCCAGGAAGATTCTGTCCATGGAGGAGGGTGGGCAAAGTGATGCTCATGCTGACCCCCTTTTAGTTGGGAAAGCCTCAGAAGGACTAGAGGCATCACCGCAGGCCCACTGCCCAGGAGTGCAGCGGCCGCCACACAAATATCTGACCCCCACGGGAGGGGTGCTGTGAATGGGCTGCACCAGGGCACTGATGAGATGTGAGACCCCGTCCTGGTCCCAGAAGCGCCCTGGGGATGTCAGAACTGGAGCAGGCTTACCTCAGCTCCGATCTTGTGACTGAAGAACCGGAAACCCGGAGTAGAAATGAGACGATCAATGGCAGAGTGAAAGAGTAGAGCTGGTGGCAGGCCTCCAGAAGTAGTTTGTAGGCTTCATCCCCACTGAGAACTCAGAGCAGGCTACTGACACCAGGCCCACACCAGACCTGCCCCCCCTGGTGATGGCTGAGGAAAGGGAAAAACCTGCGTGTTAGGACTGTAACCAGGGCCACACCAAACCTATTCTGTTCTCCAGTTAGCCTTGTCCCATCGTGCATCTGTTCTCTGCAGATACTCTCGACTTACTTGACTAGTTAACAAGAATTCATCAGATACCCACCATGAGCTAGTGCTGTGCCCTAAAGACACAAATACAGGAGAGGAACCACCTGGCTAGCACTAGGGATTCAGGACAAGAAGACAACTTGGAAGTGGGCTCATGGCACCAGAGCAAAGCGAGTGGTGTGTGTGTCACAAAGGCCAGGCTTCAGGCTGACCCTCGGATGAACTGAATCTATAACACTGGACTTTAGATTCTGTCTTGAAGGAGTCACTCACTTTAGGCTACACCTCAATATCCTCAAATCCTGATGGATTCCCTGGGTAGACCTGGGATCTTGTGCGAGCACTGGCATTGACAGCAATACCATGGCTTTCCCTTCCAATGAAGCCCATCAGGATGATGACTCTGAGGCCGACATCACGGAGAGCCTCTAAGTGAGTCTAAAATGTATAATTTGAAAAGAAAACCATTCAAAAACCCCAGTACTTTGATGATTAGTAAGCAGTTACTTGTGACATTTCTCACAACAGACAACAAATGTACATTTGTACTTGTTAACCCACAAGGTGGGAGGCCCTTGGGGGACCCACTGGGCAGCTGTCAGGAATGTCACAGCGAGGCCACAAGAAGCAGGCAGGGTGCTGGGATGCAGGAGGGGAGGAAGACTGGAGCAGGTAACAGTAGAGGGGTTAGCGCGGTAGGGACAGTTCGGAGAGCCATTCAGGGGGCAGACTATGCTTGAGTGAGGATGTGGAGGTGAACCAAGGCTATGGAGAGGGACTCCCTAATGATCCCATTTACTCATGCAGTTCACTTTTGAACATACTGCTTTGAGGTTCTTCTGCAACAAATCTTTAGAAGTGCATGTGACAGAGTCAGGTCAGAGCTAAAGATACAGACTCACGTAAACATCTCCATGGGAACTAAGGGAAAAGGCCAGAGGGAGAAGTGAGTGGAGGGCGGTGGCCCAGGCAATGTTGTCGTAAAGGGGCTACAGAAGGAAGGGACTTCGAAGGTTGACTGACAGGCAGAGAAGGATGCAGAAAAAACCTAAAGTGAAGGTAGGAAAGCCAAGGGGGGACTTTCCAGACAAGACAGGTAGATGATGAAGGATGAAGGAGATGGAGCCCAGGGCCGTGCAACAGGAGCCGGAGGATGTAGGTATCTGCAGTGTTGGAGGTGGGCTGGGGAAAGGAGGATCATGCTTGGGGACAGGAGATAAAGGGCTTGGCTCTACCTCTGAACAGAGAAGGGGTGCAGTGGGAAGAGCTGTAAGGCTAACTATACAGGAAAGAAGAAGAAGTGATGGGTGGGGGAAAAAAAGTAAGACAATTTATGCCCTGGAGCCTACAGATTCCCAAAGGGAAGCCACAGGTCTCCAGAAACAGCAACCTGCTGGCTGAGCCAAAGAGGGCAGGTGCCTCTGCACTTAGGTGGATGCTGGCGACCTGGAGCAGGGGCCTCCTTCTAAATACTCTCAGCAGCCCTTTTCCCATGTGCATGCCCAGAAGGAAAGGAGCCACTTTTCTATTGCTCTTCTGTCTGCCTCCCCAGAGCCTTGTGCAGAGCTCAGCCCATCCGTAACTACGCCACACTCTTCTCAGAGTTTTCAGTACCCAGTCCAACTGGCAGGCCCCTCTTGTCTCAGTTCCTGCGCTTTCTACCCATCCCAGACCCCAGGAAACTTCAAAGCACTGGCTGGGCTCTCAAGTCCTAGGCTTCTCATCCCCTCACCCACTTACCTGTGAGGAGAGGAAAAGTAGGGAGGAAAAGAATGGGAGGAGAGGAACATGTGGAAGGAAGAGAGTAGGGCAAACTACTATGTACTTTTGGGTTTTGACCCACATGCAAGTTTGGCTACTTGCAACCCCTAAGTGAGATGTTTTCACTAATTATTGTGCATCACTGGATTTCACATTACGCAAACGTGACATAAAATGAAACCCGTTTTATTTATTTTTATTTTTTTTAAGATTTTGTTTACTCATTGGGGATCCCTGGGTGGCGCAGCGGTTTAGCGCCTGCCTTTGGCCCAGGGCGCGATCCTGGAGACCCGGGATCGAATCCCACGTCGGGCTCCCGGTGCATGGAGCCTGCTTCTCCCTCGGCCTGTGTCTCTGCCTCTCTCTCTCTCTCTCTCTCTCTGTGTGTGTGTGACTATCATAAATAAATAAAAAATTAAAAAAAAAAAAGATTTTGTTTACTCATGAGAGACACAGAGAGAGGCAGAGACACAGGCAGAGGGAGAAGCAGACTTCATTCAGGGAACCCAACGCCGGACTCGGTCCCAGGACCCCAGGATCACTCCCTGGGCTGAAGGCAGGCACTAAACCGCTGAGCCAACCAGGGATCCCCTGAGGTCCATTTTAAAGCCCACACTAGGAGGAACAACCCCTGGGTGGCTCAGCAGCTGAGTGTGTGCCTTTGGCTCGGGTCGTGACCCGGGGTTCCCGGGATTGAGTCCCGCATCACGCTCCCTGCAGGAAGCCTGCTTCTCCCTCTGCCTAGTCTCTGCCTCTGTCTCTCATGAGTAGATAAAAAAAAATATTTTTAAAAGTAAAATAAAATAAAATAAAGCACACACCAGGAGAACTCTTTGCGGTTGCTTTCTATAGTGGATCGAGAGCATGAAGCCCACCGCCCGTGTACGTGGGCTGAAATCCTGGCGGCCACCCAACAGCTCCGATACTGCACTAGCGGGCCTCGGCCTCACCGTCAACACCGCAGGGAATAACAGCACCCACCGTCCTGGACTTAAGTGAGCTAAAACACGTCGAGTGTTCAACGGCAGTCCTTGGCACGGAGCGGTGCTGGACACGAACCACGGCTCCGTCCAGGCTGCCTCACCGCGCGCGTTCCCGGCGCCGGGCCCCGGGAAGCGGCAGCCAGCCAGGGAGGGACCCCGCCGGGCCGCCCGAGGGGAGGGACAGGCCGTCCCCGCGCCACCCCGCACCCCCACCCCCCAGCCTCGGCGTCCAAGTCCGCGAAGTGGCACCGCAACGCCCCGTCCCCGGCTTACCTCGGCCCCCGGAGATCAGGCACGCGCAGCCGACAGCACCACCGCGGCCCGCAGCCACCACGCCAGCCACCGCGTTTCCCGGCCCGCGGAGCCGGGGGAGGGGCTCGGCTTCCGGGACGCGCAAGGGCTACTTCCGGGAGCGCCCCGCGCCCACCCCTGCCTGCGGATGGTACGCTCCTCAGGCCCGCGGCAAGCCCCCAGTGCGCAGGCGCGGGCGGCCGAGACGCGAGCGAGGGGTCGCGCGCCAGTCTCACGGTGCCTAGGACTCCGCCCTACTAGTCCAACAGCCTTCGCTTCGCGGTCTTAGGCCCGCTCCACTAACCGATCTCCGAGGTCCCTTCTGACCCGGGCTCCCTGCGCCCTGGGGAGGTGTCCGAGCACGCCCCGCGTCTGGTGCGCACGCGCAGACGGAAGGGCCGCGCCGACGGTAACGGCCCTCGCGTTGGGGGCTCCAGCCCGGCAGGTTCCCCCGGCGGGTCAGAGTGTGTCCCGGGACAGGTCCCCGCCGCCTGCCGACGCCGCGGAGGCGTCGCTCACGACCCAGGGGACATCCGCGCCCGCGTCCACAGGGCGCTCTACCGTCTCCCGGAACGGAATTGTTCAGGGGGCCACGGAGCCCGCGGTCCTTGGGCTGAGCCCAGAAGGACGCATCCGCCCCCCCCCCCCCGCCCGGTGCCCACGTCTCGCAGGCTACCGAGTCGGACGGACTGAAGGACCTAGCCTAGGGCCGTTCCACCTCTTCATCCTCCCAGGGGTGGTCCCGGTTTTCCTCCTCTCCTTCCAGCGCCCCTGCGCTGGCCCCAAGCAAATCAACTCCAGTTTGGGCTAAAAGTAGGACCTCTGCCACTAGAGCACACGTCGTTACACTTTATCCTTTTGTATCTTCCCTGGTTCTCTCCATGCCTCAGAGCTGCGAGCCAGCACCATTGTTTTCATTTCTGGGGCTTCGCAGATCGTGACTTTATCATGCTTCCAAGTGTCTGGGAGAGTCCTTAGTACTCTGGGGTTTTTCAGCAATTTCCTGGATATTTCCTGCCATGTTTATTTTTTTCCTGAGAATTTTAGAATACGCATATTCTTATGCTTTCATTTTTACTAGAATATTTTAGAATATTTAGAATGTTTATATTTGGGATCCCTGGGTGGTGCAGCGGTTTGGCGCCTGCCTTTGGCCCAGGGCGCGATCCTGGAGACCCGGGATCGAATCCCACGTCGGGCTCCCGGTGCATGGAGCCTGCTTCTCCCTCTGCCTGTGTCTCTGCCTCTCTCTCTTTCTCCCTCTGTGACTATCATTAAAAAAAAAAAAAAAAAATTTATATTTTACTAGATTAGTAACCCAACCCCACCCCCACCCCGAAATCTTGAGTGTTTTCACTGACGTTGCATGTGTAAGTTACATCACGGACATTTGGCAGGAAACACAAAATACAGATACATAAACAGGCCCCAGGCATCTTTCGTGGCCCTAGATCCCCAGGTCGTAATGTATGTATCAAAGTGCTGGGATCCCTGGGTGGCTCAGCGGTTTGGCGCCTGCCTTTGGCCCAGATGGTGATCCTGGAGCCCCGGGATTGAGTCCCATGTCAGGCTCCCGGCATGGAGCCTGCTTCTCCTTCCGCCTGTGTTTCTGTCTCTCTCTCATTCCTATGTCTATCATGAATAAATAAATAAAATCTTTTAAATTAAAAAAACAAAGTGCTGAAAGTGCTTGCCGCTTCCTTTTCCACAAAGTGGATCAGTATGGTGTCTGGGATGGGAACAACAAAAAAGGCAAAGGCAGCTGAGATCCTGGCAGAATAAAGAGTGGCATGGAACTATCGTATATAGAAACAATGGGAGGGCACCTGGGTGGCTCAGTCCCTTAAGCATCTGCCTTCCGATCAAGCATCTGCCTTGATCTCAGGGTCCTGGGATGGAGCCTCGCATTGGGCTCCGTGCTCAGCGGGGAGCCTGCTTCTCCCTCTCTTATCTCTCAAAATTTTTTATTTTTATTTTTTAAATATTTTATTTATTCATGAGAAACACAGAGAGGCAGAGACGCAGGCAGAGGGAGAAGCAGGCTCCATTCAGGGAGCCCAACATGGGACCGGATCCCAGGTCTCCAGGATCAGGCCCCAGGCTGAAGACAGCGCTAAACCACTGAGCCACCTGGGCTGCCCTCAAATCTTTTTTAAAAGCATGGTTAATACTCCCACTTGGGCAAGCCCCAGTGGCTCAGCGGTTTAGTGCCACCTTTGGTCCAGGGCCTGATCCTGGAAGTCCCATGTTGGGCTCCTTGCATGGAGCCTGCTTCTCCCTCTGCCTGTGTCTCTCGCCTCTCTCTCTCTCTCTCTATCTCTCTCTGTCTCTCATGAATAAATAAATAAAATAAAAAAAAATAGCTCCTACTAAAGAGCCAGGCACTTTATTCTCTTGCTTCATATTCACAATCTCTATGAGGCAGACACTATTATTATTACACCAACTGAACAATAAAACAGGATCATAAAGATTTAACTTTCACTCAACTAGCAGTTGGGATAGGAATTTGAACCCTGGTAGCCCAGTTCTTGATTGTGCACACTCAACCTTGATGCTAAGCTGAGCAGCTCAGGCAAGGTGAGCAGCTTCTGGGAGGCTGAGCAGAAAGAGCAAGGAGGAAAATATACTTGCTGAATCAAATCCTGCAGACCAAGAATACAGCTGTTGCATGTGGTATCAAAACCGATCAAAGTCATAGCGTCTGCAGTTACTTTTCCAGGTCCAGCGCTCCTGCTGTGGGAGCCACAGAATGGGCAGGTGAAGAGACTTACCACCCCAGTGTCTCCCAGGTCTTTGCCAGGGCTGACCTTGCCTGAAAAGGCTGACCTTTTCAGATGAAGGGACGAGCTTTGCTATCACAACCCTCAATCCTGAGGTTAGGGAGCCAAGGCGGTAGTTCCGAGAGTTTCTGGTAATATCCATTCCAGCCATTCCACCCATGATTTTCAGGGAAGACGCTTGGCAGGGTGAGCTCAAGGTTCTACTGGGCTCAATGCAACACCAGAGCTCCCTGGCTCACTTGGCCTCCGATGAGCCACTAGCTTATTGCCGGACTGCATAGCACTGTGATTAGGGGTTCCTCAGATACCCAATAATCCCCTAAAGCTTGGTTGCTTCCTTCTCCCCATGGTGTAGTTTCCAGGTCAGGAGCTCCAGTTCCTACTGGGAAAGGCTCCCAAGGCACCATGAGTGCCAGCTGCACTCAAGCTTTCCAACCCCTTTTGCAGGAGCTCGGATTGATAAATTGATTAAAATGCATCAGTCACATGAGTGGCTGAGATTCTAAAATAGTGGTTCCCAACACAGTAGTGGGGAGGACTTCGCCCCCATTTTAAAATGGCTAGAGACATACATGGTTATCGACCAGGGGCTGGGAGAAGGGAGACACTGGCATTTGGTGGGCAGAGGTCAGGGGTGCTGCTAAACATTCCCAGTGGAGGGCAGTGTCCCTTGCCCCCAACAAAGAATTATCCAGCCTGAACTATCAATAGGGCTGAAGTTGGGAAACCCTGTCTAGAGGGTGTAGCTGGCACAAGAACCCTTGGGAGGCTTGTTTAAAATGCAAAATCTTGGGCAGCCTTGTGGCTTAGCAGCTTGTTTATTTTTTTAAGATTTTATTTTTATTCATGAGAGACCCAGAGAGAGAGAGAGAGAGAGAGAGAGAGAGAGGCAGAGACACAGGCAGAGGGAGAAGCAGGCTCCATGCAGGGAGCCCGATGTGGGACTTGATCCTGGGTCTCCAGGATCACGCCCTGGGCCGAAGGCAGGTGCTAAACCACTGAGCAACCCAGGGATCCCCTGGCTCAGCAGTTTAGCGCTGCTTTCAGCCCAGGGTGTGATCCTGGAGACCTGGGATTGAGTCCCACATCAGTCTCCCTGCATGGAGCCTGCTTCTCCCTCTGCCTGTGTTTCTGCCTGTGTCTCTGCCTCTATCTCTCTCATTCTGTGTCTCTCATGAAGAAATAAATAAAGTCTTAAAAAAAATAAGATGCAAAATCTTGGGCCACCTGGGTGGCTCAATGGGTTAAGCGTCTGCCTTCAGCTTAGGTCATGATCTCAGGGTCCTGGGATCAAGCCCCATGTCTACACTTCCCATTCAGCAGGGAGCTTGCTTCTCCCTCTGCCCTCCACCCCCACCCTGCTCTGCTTCCTCAATCTTGTGCTCTGTCAAATAAATAAAATCCTTTAAAAAAATAACATAAAATGCAAAATCTCAAGTCCCAGCAGGCTTTGGAATGGGACCCAGGAATTGGCATTTTCTAGCATATCAGATAATTCTCAAATTAGGTGGACCGTATCCCATCCTGATCCCAAAACTCTGGTCCCTAGACCTGTGGCCTAAGAACCACCCGTGGTGCATATTACAAGCCTCGGATCCTCACTCCGTCCCTGCAGATTCTCTTGTACTGTACCTGGCCTGGTCCTAGCATGCTGTGGGTTCGTATTGTTCTGAGTGATTCCTATGCAGGTTCATTGACACAGAAAGTGGTCTGAGTTACCCCGGACTTTGGTCACCTGCCCTCCCTTTTCCGTCATTACATGTGAAGCAAAACTGTGGTGGCTGTCAACTGACTTTGGTCCCGGAAACCTCCAGCTTTATAAACAAAGGTCACTTCCTAGCACACAGGCATGGAGATGACAACCGCTCCTGCTGCATTTCACCTCTACTACTCATGTTCCTGTTGTTACCAACTATCCTATTTCTGTTCAAAGCAACTATAACTCATCAAGGGGCTTACTTTAGGGTCTTCATCAAAGATGGTAACCCTGTGGCCTGCAGTAATAGTACACTTCTGTCTGTAACTCCTCTTCCCTCTTCCAAACCCGGGCTGATGGGTGTCCCTTCTGTAGGCCGCAATCTGCCAGATGTCTCAGGGGTGCTGAGGTGGGGAAGAGAGCCTGGAAGGCTGGCATCTGAGCAGCACCAAACTGGCAAGTTTCCTTAGCTCTTTGCCCTTTGGTTGTCCCAAGCACGGCTTGGCACCTAGCAACTGCTCAGTGAACATTAGCCGTGGTTGTCCTCACATATCCTCGAAGGATTTCACCCAGACTGTGGTATCCTCTGCCGAACTGCCCCCCCGCCCCCCCCCCCAACAGCCATGTTCTAAGGCCTAGATCTCTAACAGCAGTTGGGAGGCCTCCCCAGTGGGGGCATGGACTGGTCTCTGGAAGTCTAGCACCTTGGTTGAAACACTACCCTCTGGTGGCCACGCTCTGTGTGTGCAGCTTTGCTCCTCTCAGCTGCTTTGGGTCTGCTCTCTGGGCTTGTGGGGTCCCAGGGTGGTTCTAGAAGCTGCTTCCCTTCCCCCTCTGCCACTGGGTATGGTGCAGTGCTGTCCTACTCTCTGCTACTGCCCATATGTAGGGATCTTTTGCTTAATGGAAGTTCTCCAAGCGTCTCTGAGGAAGACATTTATTGGTGGGCCTCCCATGTGGTGGGCCCGAGATCCTTGAAAATAACTGCACAACAACTGATCTCGGCACCTAATGCTTCAAT